GTATTGTGTGGACCTAGTTTTTACATCAGCATTCCCCAAAGTCATTCAACAATCAACATTGTAATACAATATAATCAGACTTATAAGTTTTCTATATTTCTAGTTGATAATATGGTTGGAAAGTATGGTGCAGGAGAAACTAGTCTTTTTAAGTGTCCAACCTGTGATTATGAGCAAGAAATAAGATCGTCTGGAGTTCATATATCCGAAGGTGGATCAGTTAGTGTGTTTTCAGAGGATGAATTTTGTTGCCCAAATTGTGTATCAAAGAGTGACAAACAGGCAACCAAAATTTGTAGTAAGTTAACCCTTTAAGATGTAATCTCCCTACTTTACTTTTTTAATATAATGTCAGGTTTATTTACAATGTCTAATCCCAGATGATTTTGCCTGTCAACGAGTAAAAACCCTCCCGCCTCCACTGTATGTATGTTCGTGATTTTAAAGGAGATGATAAATATAACAGTGGAAATGATGACGATTCATCTACATGTGAAAAGAAAGTAACTGATGCAGTCACAAACAAAGAGAAAACATCAAACAAGAAAATATCAAGTGAGAAAATGTCATGCAAGAAGAGAAGATTGAACCAGGAAAAAGAGTTAAAAATGCCCATGAACAAAAAAAAAGAAAAGCAATGTTGAAAAATCTCTGGAAATTGTCTTTGAGAAATTTAAGGAATCATCAGCAAGTGAATTTGAAAGGTAGAACTAAATTTCAGTATGCCTATATGTTATATGTATGTAGTGCAAAACCTCAAAGTTGAGTAAACACAAATGAGCAACAAGGATCTAGAAACTGTCATTTATGCCATCACTATAAGTCTTTTTGGGCTTTTAGATATCAGAAACTCGAAGATGACCGAGCCAAATTGGAACACAAATTTAGATTGGAGCAATTAAAGTTGGAAAATGAGCGAAGGAAGGAAGAGAGAATGCGCGAGCTTAACATGCTACGTATGATATTGTCACCACAACAACCTTCTGCTGTGACAACAGGTTATCAAGTATTCAATAATCCCATTGGCTACAGTACCCCATTCAATTCACACTCAAGTGATAGCAGTGATCACAGCTTAAACGAATACCCAACCCATGATTGTGCAACTTATTTCAAGTTGTAACAATCAAGTCAAAGAACACTTTTGTTAAGGTTAAAGAAACATTGAAAATGGTTTAAATTGTTGAAAAAATTATTGTATTAATATGCACTTGTTTTTATTTATTTACAATAAGTAGAACATGAGTCGAATGTTTGTTAAACTTTGAGTTAAAAGAGATTGGCAATAAAAGTACTTTGAAAGATAATTAGACATAGATATGAAGACCTTTAATTTAGATATTTCCGTAAGCTTTCTACCTTTTATTAGATCACCCAAGCTGTGGATGGATGTGTAATTGAAGATGACAGAATGTTAAATGTTTTTATCTAAATTTCTAAAATATCTTAAAGATTACTATTATCAAGAACGACCTATAGAAAAGATATAGATAAGATATAGATATAAGACCTATATAAGACTCTTATAAAACCTATATAAGATAAAAAAAGTTCTTATCTTGAAAATGTTTCTTTCAAACATTTTCTATTGCTAATCTCTAGTATACTGGGAATTTCATTCGAATTACAATGTTCACAGTTTAGTGTGGTGTATGTAACAGTTCTCGTTCATATTTGATTGTACAGGGTGCGATAATTCGCATACCAACGTACCGGAGGTACGCCAAATTTATGGTCTGGTACTTCTTTGTTTTTAGGCTAGTACCACGTAGGTACGCGGAAATTTGCTATTCGCGTACTTACATTTTCCTTCTAGCAAACCTGCCAAAATATTCAAAACCGTGAAGAACTTTAGCTGTACATGTAAATTCCACGCATCCGACATATTTTGGGATGAAAAAAGCCAAAAGGCTTTGCGCTTGATCAAAAAATTTATCGTCATCGTCCGACTGAAAAAAAATCGCTCGGGTGAGCGATTTTAAAATCGTTATCGTCAAACGATAATTTTATCGTTTTCGTTGTAGTGTGAACACCAACATAATTTTTTTACCAATCATCGCGTGTTTACAAGTTATCGTATCGTTATCGTTGTGTGGGGGTGACCTGGGCTTAATTGTCAATGCTCGGGACTCTACTGAAAATCGCCCAGCAAAAATTTTTATTTCCGACCTACCTACCCTAATTTTTTGCGCGATATGAAACCGGAACCACAGGTTTTTTTTTAGGCCCAGTGAGGAAAACTGCACTGTATGTAGCTGTGGTCAGATTGTTAGCACCTTCGGTAAATCCACTGTAAATGAGTGATGGCATTCGAGTCACAACGTCGACGCTTTCAAAACTGTTATATTATGTTGTACAAATACCATAATTAGAGATTCGTTTGTACAAATTGCCCATACATTTTTTGCTTTTAGACCAGTAAACTATACGTAGGTATAAAAACGCATGACTCGGAAGCAGTCTTAGGTACGTCTTGACTCTTAAGTTTGTACCAGACCAGGTACGCGGCAAAAGGTGTCGGAGTACCAGTCAGGTACGGCTAAAAATATTGAATTATCGCACCCTGTTGTACTGTATAGCTAAAGCTCATGCTCTAGCATAAGTATCAATAAAATTTTAAAACGTTATGTTCTCAAGCAAAGTGCTCTGTCAGAACACTGCGGATATTGTCAGCATCTTGTGCCGCCTCAATCTCATCTTCTGGCTCATTCAATTCTTCAATAGCCCCCACCACCTCCCAGTCAAGCAGAAAGTTGTTTTTCTGAAGTTCACACATATTATGTAAAATACACGATGCGTGTACAACGTTAACTAGAGAGGATACTTCCATATCTACTCGCTTACCAAACCTGACAAATCTTCCCTTCCATCTTCCAAACGTATTTTCGATCGTCATTCTTGCTCGGCTAAGGTTGTAGTTAAACCTTTTTTCCATTTCTGAAGCATTGTTTCTGAGATATCCCTTCAGCAACCATGGCAATAGAGGGTAAGCAGGATCGCCCACAAGAAAAGGTGCTATTTCGACTCCTCCAATTTCCTTTACGAGACGAGCAGGAAAAAGGTGTTTTTTATTTCCATTTTTGAAAATTGCAGAGTTGGAGAGAACTCGCGCATCATGGACGCTTCCAGGCCATCCAATGACCACATCTCGAAATAGATAATTGCAATCGGTGACTGCTTGCATGATAATACTATGAAAACCTTTACGGTTCACATATTCTACATGGCTTTCAACTGGTGCAAGTATTGGTATGTGCGTGCCATCTATTGCGCCAGCACACATCGGGACCCAACATTTTCGTTCGTAGCTTTCAAGAACTTCAACGAGGTCGTCTCCCTTAGGGAAGGATATCATCCTTGGAAAGCGCTTTACGATTGCGCAGCACACTTCTTTGACACACTGGCATGTAAGAGATCTCGATACACCGAACAGATTTGCAACAGTCCACTCCTACACTCAGCCGTGGAGGCTAAATAATATAATGTTAGCGCCAGCCGTCGTTTTGCAGAAATAGGGTCACGCATGTAAGTATGTTTACGACATATATCTTCCTCAACTTCGTGTAGAATAAAAACAAACGTTTCCCTTGTCACTCGGAAATCTGCATACCACAACTCGTCGTTGTATATCTGATCGACCATGTCAAACCAAATAAGCGAACGTGGGTGCATCCACAAAATTCTTTCTCGTGGCCAATGCAAATACGCTAGTACAGTTTCAAAGAATGCAACTGATAGGCGTTTGTTAATTTTATGAAACGGTGTTCGTGGTAAAACGTTGTCTTTGTACATCGTTCGAACCGCATGTCTTTGTTTCTTTAGGTACATACACCAAGCGAAAGCCATTTTAACTTTCGCTTCATGATTTCTGTTCGCCATGTTCGAAAAAACCCGCGAAAGTTGATATTTGCGTTTATAGGACCTTTTCTTTGTGATCAGGGGTGCTTACTTGAGAATAGGCCCGCTTAAAATTTGTCGTGTAAACGAAGCGGGCCGATTAAAAATAGTAGCACGCGTGCCTAAATTTAAGAGTACCGTGCCCAAAATTCTTGTCGTGTAAACGGGGCTGAAATTGAAGAGTATACTAGAGAAATATACTCGTCCTGAAAACTGTCCGGGTATGACATGCAAAAAGTCAACCCGGAAATATGGCAGTTGTTAGGTTCAAAGAGCAAGAGAACAGATATTCAACTGTATAATTTACAGCAATCGGTTCTCAAAGCAACAGTTGCAGCTTTTATACAAACAACAAATATGTTAGTGGAAACTCCTAACAGGGATAACTCCCAGTTGTTGAGAAGCTTAGTAGATACTGTAGCCATTTTAGCACATACCCACACTAACTTGTCTCTGGTCAGGAAAGAACAAATAAAGCCTGCCCTTAAACAGGAATACTCGGCCATTTGTTCACTGGAAGACCAGCCAAACGGTAAACTGCTTGTAACGTAGATTATTAGTTTAAGCGATATTTTTGTCGCGATTATTTTGTGTTGTTATTGCCCGTATAATTTTCGCGCGTAAACATAACATGGCGCCCAACGTGGGGTCGTATTTTCGTCGTTTAAACATCGTTTTCGTTTGAATTTGATTGTCGTTTGAATTTTGAAGTATTCGTTACCATGAGTGAGACAGATATTGATCGTTTAAAGGCAAAAAGAAGGGGGCATCGTGGAGTTACAACAAAATTTATACAAGAAGCGAAGTCGATTGTTGAAAACCCCGAGATAACCACGTTGAATATAATCGTTCACGTTTGAAGATTTTAGACAACTTACTTGAGGAGAAAGAGAAATTATTACGAGGTATGGACGATGAAATGTTGTCGTTGTGTAAGGTTGAAGAAATTGAGAAAGAAATAGAGGATGCTGACGCAATACGAGCGAGAATTTTAGAAATAAGAGGTATGATTGAGTGTTTGAATACATTTACGTCACAGCCCTCGTTGTCAGGCAATATAAATGCACCCCCTACACAAAATACGGACATGGCTGAACAGCAAGAAAGTATTTCCGAGCAGAATGTGCCTTTACCTACTGAAGAACACCCCACAAGTATTTCTGTAGAGCCAGTAAAGGGGGCACCATCATACCCATCCAGTTTTACTGTGACCCCAAAGCTACCAAAGTTGGTTCTACAAAAATTTAATGGCGAAATTACAAAATTTAGAACATTTTGGGATCGTTTTGACAGTTCAGTTAATAAGAACCCAAACATTTCACCAATCGATAAGTTTAATTATTTGCAAGGACTTTTGGAAGGTCCAGCTGCTAGAGTTATTCAAGGATTGCCTTTAACTGAGGCAAATTATAATGTTGCATTGAATCTTCTTGAAGAACGTTTCGGGAATACACAGCATATAATATCAATGCATATGGATGAACTTTTGCAACTGCCTACATGTTTAGGAAACAAACCTGCTGAGCTTCGTCTGATATGTGATAAGGTTGGGGTCAATGTTCGTGGTCTGGAGTCTTTGGGAGTGACATCTGATAAATACGGGAGCTTTCTCATACCCATCATTATGTCTAAATTACCACCAGATGTTCGTCTTCAGATCGCTCGAGTTACAGCGAAAGATGTTTGGCAAATCGAAGAAGTATTGAATGTACTGAAGAGTGAAGTGCAAGCAAGAGAGATGAGTAGTAATCTGAAGATAAGGGATCCAAGTACTCAGCCAAGACAGAGAATGCACACAACGGGTGCATTTTTCGCAGGAGATCAAAATGGGAGCAATATACGTTGTGTGTTTTGTGATGCAGAACACTTTTCCGCCTTGTGTGAGAAGATTAAAGATCCACAAGCCCGAAAGAATATTTTGAAGAGACAAGGACGTTGCTTTTTATGTTTGAGAAAGGGTCATCGAATAAACCAATGCACCTCCAATAGACGATGCCGCAAATGCCCAGGAAAGCATCATCAGTCAATCTGTGAATTTAATTCGAGTCGACCACCACAGGACCCATCGTGTCAACCACCAGAAAACAAACCTGGGCAAGCTTCCACGACTGGAGCTGTTGTCAATGAATCGTCAAATGGTACAACCACTACATCTGTGACAAGAAGTCAAACGAGAGTATTGTTACAGACAGCAAGGACATATGCATGTTCCAATGAAGGTTCAGAAGTCTTACCTGTCAGAGTGCTCATTGATACTGGAAGTCAAAGATCGTACGTCACAACTGGTCTACAGCAAAAGCTTGGTTTGAAACCCATC